TCAATGTCTGGCTTTTATTCTGCACATTGTGTGTAAACCTATTGCCCCAATATTTTTTTAAACTTTATTATTGAAAATTACAATATTGTATTATTGTATTTCTTTCTTCACTTCTTAATCTTACTATAATTAATAACTGTCCATATGTTTGTGCTTCTGAAGGCAAGAGAATTTCACGCACAGCCTTTACAGAGCTTTTCGCCAGTAGAAATGCCATCCATTTCAAAACCAACGACTAAAGTYGAGCCATTCAACTTATCAGCTGACACACGAGGAGCAAAGAAAGCTGAATTATGGGCAAAAAAGGTATAACAATATTGATAAAAGAAGGATCTATGAATATTGAGAAATATTTAACCATTGCTTTGTCTAACCCTGTCACATTAGGTTGAGGATGAGCTTAAAGAACAAAGAAAAAAAGCCGTGTTCAAAGCCCATTCAAGTAATGTTTTATATCAAGCACCATTTGTGCCAAAGAAATCTTTGAAACAAAACACAATTTTCGACGAATTTAACTTAAACTCAGAGAAGCGAGCTGAGGAACGTGCTGCCTATGAAATGCACAAACGAGAACGAGAAATTCAAGATGAGGAGCTGATACTACAGAGACAGGCTGAAAAAGAGGAGGAGGAAAGACAGAACATTGCAATGTTACGGAAACAGCTTGTTCACAAAGCTAACCCAATCAGGACTTACAAACCTGTAGCAATCACATCTAGTGATAAGCAGTTGACAATACCAGAATCTCCTTCCTGGCACGCGGCAAAAGATAGGAAAGTTCTACGCATTTAGCGTTTCATTTTGGTGTTTATTCTTACAGCCACTCAATGTTTTTATCATCGTAATATTTTTCAAACAGAACTCAAAAGGGACTTGAGAACAAATAAAAGATTTAACCAAACTGAAATTTTGTTTTAATAATTCAAAATTATTAAAATGCAGCTATAATTGACCAGTCTACAACAGTCCAAAATTTGCTTAAGATCTAGTACTGGTGTATGTGTGAGACTCTACTGGTGCATGGAACATTGTTCTGTGTCAATAATTGACTGCACAACAGTATTACATGCACCACAATTAAATTTAAAATGTTGTACACAATTTGAGCTTTTCTTCAATGTGAGCCATTTGAGGTCTTTTATCAATATTATTGGTTACTAAAGCCATGTAAAAGTAGAGGCAATCTAGTCACTTTGTACAGTTTTATCATACTTTTCTGCTTATTTTGTATAATACTATTGTTAAAAAAACGATTCCATCAATGTAAGATTTTCATAACTAAATAAACACAGCATAGTGTGATGAAACAAGACTTGATTTATTACTTGATTTGAATGCAGATGCCATCTTTCAAAAGTTGCAGTTTAGAATTGGCCTTCTACTTTAGACGGTCACATGGTTCTACTAGTAAATCCACTGCTCTGGATGGCAAAAGAATGTAAACAACCTCAAAAACATAAGGAATGAAGCCTGTCAAGTTTGAATTTCCTTTGATCATCCCAGTGGGTATTTTGACATCCAGCATGGTTGATTTAAAGTGAAACTATCAAGAGCTTGCGGCAATGGGTGACCAAGCGATGTCTAGTAAATTGCTATATTTGCTTAAATACAATGATCAACATGAACACCTATCAAGATGGTGCCAAGAGCTCTTGCACAAAAGCGATGTTTTGATGGTTTGGTCTCTGTTATGTCCTACAAACCATCAAAACTATTCACCTGCCAAGGAATGAATCACTTATTGAACTTCATTAAACAAGGGATCATGAAAACCACTAAGCGCTCTATTTACATCAGAAATAGGTGACCATCAAAATACTTTGCCATAGTTTAATACCTTAGGTTAGCTTGAGTTTATGTTCTTCTGGAGTAGAGCAATAGGTTTTTTCCACTACCAATGCATATATCCAAGAATTACAGGGAATATAAAAGCAGAGAAGTAACCAAGAAAACCTTGGTTGTTCTTTGGGCTTCCTGTGGTGATTGGCTCCCAGGCTTTACTCGAATCCCAATATGGCGGACAACAACACGTGAAATTTGAAAAGCAAAAAGCGCTGCAAGTTTGATTGGATTATGAGCGGATTACTGAACAAGCATTGGTTATTTGCAGTCAAAAGATCACTTTCCATTGAGTTTGCTTCAAAAAATGCTACTAAGGTGGGCTGCATTTCTGTTCTGATCGTATGTTTGATGTCGATTCAATGACTTAAGCTTACAAATTTAATCGAAATGTTATGAAGGAATTGAAATCAAAGCATTTTAGGCTTGAATTGTTGTACGCACTAAAAATTCTTGCTTCAATAAATGATGCTCTTAATACTTTAAAATACTTTAAAAGCTTTAATATACAAATGGTTTTATACAGATCTTGAGTAGCAGTTGCTACCTGCACAGTGGCAAATGTGTGAATTCATCAAATAGCGAAGTGGTACCAGCAAAAGTTGATAAGTTTGCTTATGGCGCCGATCCCCTGGCAAAGAGAGACAAAAATGCACCAGGGTTGTTTTCATTGAAGACTATCCACTTACCAGAGCAACTGGATGTTAACTTGAAGAAATATCTTGAAAGTAAGAGTATTTGTTCTTCAAAAAACCRTTGAYTGYATYTTAATCCRTGAAAATCAAAGCCATCATGCTGTTGTATCAACAAAGACTTGGGATAAGGGGTTGTTAGTTAGTTGTTAACATCCTGTGCAACATCATTGCTGATGCTGTCAAACCCTTGCCTTGTGGACACTCCTACATTATGCTAAATATTAAATAAATCTCTACTACAAAGAAATTACTGAAACCATAGCTACTAACTATGCAAAAAACAAATCCTCTAAATGGGCATTTGAATGGTTTCCCAGACTCTTACCCAGTCGTTTCTCTAACTCGTTTAATGGGTCCCTGTGCATCAAGGGAAGTCTTGATCCTTTGTGGGCGCCAAAGACGTGAAGAGTAACAACTGGGTACGAGTCTGATGGTCTCCAAGTTGTCCACAGTCTCCTCACACAGCCATTTTGAGGTAACAGGAGATAAAGATCTGAAAAGGAATCTCGTAACAGCTGCAAAAGAGACTAAGGTGTCCATTGCAATGAGAGACTTATATATTTATTACCATTACCATGCATTTGTTGTGATTAGGATATCCAAGAAAGTTGCTCGAAAATGATGGAAGTAAACTAGCCAAACACTTGAGAAACAGAGGAAGACCTACAGAGACTACATGGAAAAAATACAAGCAAGGCAGAGCATCCAGAAAAAATCAAGGTTTGATTTATAATTTCATAAAAATTGTATTGCTTTATAGAATACTTACATGTAGGCCCTGTTTACATAAGGTAGGGAGTCTTAAGGTATTAGAGCTGTTTATTTTACTTTGGTTTGATAAAACAAGAGTTAGTTTCCTGAAAACTGTGTCTTAATCTATTCATTTCTTTGATTTAGATCTTAATGTGAACATAGATGATGTCATGAAGCTGAAAGAGCAAGAAAGCCAAGAAGTGATTGTTGATTATTATTTGGACCAAGATGAGAATGAAAACAAACAAGAGAGTTGTGATTCTGTAGATCAAATCAAAACAAATAGACCAAAGATTGAGGAGTATAAAGTTGTGAGGCAAGTACTGTATACTTATGTTGTCCTGTTCTCAGTGTCCCATTTTTAGCATCTTTTAGTTYGGTTTATAATTTTGCTAATTGCRMGTTTTTCTTTAGATACAACAAAAGGGAAAGTGCRGCCTTTGCTGCCAGTCGTATCCCAGCGTCCTATGGTGCAACTCTAAGAGTCCTTCATGAGGTGATTTAATAATAATACTAGGCAATTTKCATGATGATGTCATATACTACAACTACCAGAATGCTTTGCCCACTTTCTTTTGTAATGCAACTAGTCCCATAATTGTTTCACTAATCTCCAAAGGGATTAAAAAATCTGAATTACAAAGAAAATACGCAAAGATTTCTGGTTGTAGTAAAGTTATGCCATCTTGCAAATGTCTGGTTAATATCAGAAGTGGCAGTTAAAAAATTTGATTGTATAATCAACATCTAATGAAATTTGATTTATAATAATTGTTTCAGATTTCAAGACGAGAACCTGATTATAAGCCAGAAACGCTCCTGGACTTTGGATCAGGAACAGGGACTGCTATCTGGTAGTGTGGTTAATCACTTTGTCTACTTTTAGATATTTAAAATTTTTTATCATTTCTTGCTTAATGGTAGCAAAGATGAATATTTTTGCATGTCTAGTGTGTTTCTTCTTAATGCCAGTAGTAATATTATGCAATACATGTATATATTTTATATTCTTGAAAACGTTCTTTTAAACTCTGTTTCCAGGGCAGCACACAGTCAATGGAGCGACTCCATTAAAGAATATCAGTGCATTGATGTATCAGAACACATGAATGATATTGCAGAGTATCTTCTTAGAGGTACAAATACTTTTTCATATTTAAAGTGATTAAGGAATTAATGTATTGAATTTAATAGCTTGATTGTTTGAGATYGTTAAGTGACTGGCTGGCTGACTGRCGTATTTTTTTAGGTAGTGAAAGTTTCAAGAGACCTTTACACATACCTTATGTCTATTTTAAACGGTTTCTTCCTATATCAAATAAGGTGGGTTCTTTTTAATATAAACAATCCAATCATACATGTATGCAAATGTTTTTTGTCTGGCTTAGTCCTGGAAACCGAATTCAAACCTATTCAAATCTTGTTTGACTGGTTTTAGTAAAGTCCTGGAAACCTAATCCATACCTGTTCAAATCTTGTTTGACTGGTTTAGTAAAGTCCTGAAAACCAAATCCAAACCTGTTTAATTCTTGTTTGACTGGTTTGATATACTGTTTGACTGGTTTCTTAGGTAACTTATGACATAGTTATATCATCATACTCATTAAGTGAAATTCCTCGTATTGCCACAAGAAAAGAGGCTATAAAGAATCTTTGGGAAAAGACAAATGATTTTCTGGTAAAGTATACATCCTTGCATATATTTTTAATTGAAATTTTAATATTTGCACTTTGAGCAACACAAAATACTTGCAGTGCTAATACAATGTCTAATACAATGTTGTCAAGACAAATTGTGTGAGTTTGTGATGTTATCTGTCTTTAGT